ATTAAAAAATATTTTATAAAATATAATATATAAATATATATATATATATATATATATATATATAACTGCATACAGTGTTGATGGGTAAACTTATGTGTTGAGCACCTCACCCGTTGTCTATAACAGCACCATCTTTGTTTATATATGAAACTTCATATACTGAGTTTGAGGCCCAAGATATATATATATATGTGAGAGAGAGAAATGGCGGAGTTTTCGGATTTGTTTTTATACGAGTTGGCACTGAGAGTCACTGAGCACTTGTCACCGATAAAAATGTCTAGAAACTGTGGAAGAAATTGTTGCCCGCTCCACCACGCTCTTCTGAGTCACCGTACCCACCTATGTTTGCAGACACTAGCCTGTAACACATAATGCAACCCAAGCTTCTTAGACAACGTTTCGCTCAGGATTGAGCTTTAGTAAGCTGAAAATGAACGAAACGCCTTCGAAATGTAGGTTTGGTGGTGCATTAGGTACGTTTTACACCCAGGTCTCCCCTCCTGGGTCATAAGAGTATCGCCTGGAGTGTCGCCTCACGGCGTCTGGTTCTCATACCTCTGAGGATATTTTGGTGGTGGAGCGGGTGAGTGTGGCTGAGCGATGGCCAGACCGTCTCTCGAACACTGCCATTTGGCGTCCCTCGGTGGGTAAGGTGCGACTGTAGTCCCCCATCGTGAAGGAGTTGTACTCTGGTAGTCGAAGTGGCTCGCAGAGTGGTCTGTTGGTGGCGCTCTCGGCGTGTCTTCGTGACCCCCCTGCTGTTGCTGCCCTGGTGGAGGGTGGCAGGGGTAGTGGAGGCTCCAGGGGAGATGTGGAGGAGGAGGAGGAGCTTAGTGGAGGAGGAGGTACTACTGGAGTTAGGGCTCCACGCGGGGCTTCAATGATTACTCTCGAGGTTTCCACAGGCCAACTCCTCCCCTGTTGCTGTGTTTGTGACGGTTTTGACTGTTGTTGCTGCTGCTGCTTATGCTGTTGTTGTTGTTGCTGCTGCTTGTGTTGCTGCTTTTGCTGCTGCTGTTTTTGTTGCTGTTGCTGCTGGAGGTGGATGTGATCCCGTATAATATCCTCACCGAGGATAGTGGCTCGTGAGGAGCGCCTTGAGGCTGGAGGTTCAGAGGTGGAGTGGTCCTCCACGGGTCGTGTGAGGTCGACGATGGAGGGGCAGTGATGGAGGGGCGGCGGGGGCGGGGGAATGCACCCCCGAGGCTGGTGACGCCTGGAGTCACAGGTCAGGTAGGTTCTGATAGTGTCTGAAGTGAAGGACCTCTGGCCCAGGCATCCCTCACTGCGGCACCTCAGCAGGGGACGTGCCAGGCTCTCCTCCGTGCTACTCGACCGTGTCTTCATCATGCCACCCACCAGGGGGGCGTGGCGGGCAAGGTGGGCGTGACCTGTGAGGAGGGCGGCCAAGAGGGCGGCCACGCCCGCGCTGCTAGCCGCCATGAGGGACCATCCGTAGCGGTAAGCATACATACTGGACCAACTGGTCCTTCGACCGGAAGCGATGGCATATTCTTCCGATACCACTGACACAAACCACACCACGCCCACGCCCACGCTCAGACCTGCCATGGAGAAGCACATGATAAAATTACGTACCTAGCAACAGACAGGTATTTAGGGAGGTAGTAGAAGGCTGCAACTCAGTATTATTATATTATTATTATTATTATCAAGGGGAGCGCTAAACCCTTAGGGATTATACAGCTCCTGTGGAGGAGGGGACTGGAAGGCATTCAGGCTTAATTCATGGAACTGGAGCACAGATCCAATTTCCTAGATCAAGAGCCCCTCACCAGCATCAACTCCCTTGAGAGGCCACAACTCATACAATATTTACCAAAAGTTTCGGTCCTCAGTACTTCTTTAATTAAGTGTATTATCGTGACAACAGCCGCGGTTCATACTCTAACATAATCCTTGTCGGAGTTCATTGTTTCCAACCTAACTAAAAAAAACTATTTTCACGATATGCTGAGTTTCTCACTTCATTTAAAAGCTGTGATGGTGGCATCACAACCAGCCTCTCACCTGAGGATCACTTAGACAAAATAACATATGCGAGAACATAATGTTGGCAAAATATTGAATACGTCCAGTTGCTTCTTATATAGAACAGCGCAGAGCCAACACTAGCGGCCAGGCTTGGTCAGAGACGGGGCTGTGATTAGAAGACCGAGGACCCTACTTGAGTTTAGCAGCACACATTATAAACAAACTGCAAGACATACGTGAGGTCAGTGTTGGAATATGCAGAGCAAGAATGGAACCCTTCTTACTAAGATACATAAATAAGATACATAACAATATTTTTTTTTTTTTTTTCACAAGTCTGCTACAATGTATAGAGCAGCGAGCGATGCGATGCTAAACAACTAAAAGGCGAGCTAACTTAGAGCTTAGTAGAAGCTAAGAGACATGAAATAAGACGGATAAAGAGGGAGGGGCATCTCACCTAAATTGTTAAAGAAAAAAAAACACAGATTGGAACATCACTTCAAACGTATCCTTAGATACCATTGTAAACATAATAACATTGTCCACAGAATCACAGGTATTACACTCGCAAAACACGAGATGTAGCATTGAGAGACACAGACGGCTCGCTCAACAAAGCAATTACCTCACACGCACGATCCCTCCACGAGCATGCAAGCACGGCGTGGACCCTCACCTAGCTTAACACAAAGTTAAACTTGGGGAGTTGTAAAGGAGGGCATCAAGACTAGTGCCTAGGTGAAGAAACTAATTAGAATAAACTGCACTTACTAGACGACTGAATATGAGAGGGGATAACACCAGTTACATACAGAATACTTATGAGGTATAGGCAAAATAGACAATAAAGAGATATTAAAAAAATAGAAGGACATTGGTGAAAATTACACACAATGGGACACATGCAGTAGAAATTGGAATGACCTGTGTAGTGTTACATGAGAGCTGACACTATACAGGGCTACTGTGCAGTGTTATAGTGACAGCAGACACTAACAAGGGCTACTGTTGGCGGTGTTATAGTGACAAGCTGACACTATACAAGGGCTACTGTGCGGTGTTATAGTGACAGCTGACACTATTACAAGGGCTACTGTGGTCATGTTACAGTGAGACAGCTTGACACTATACAAGGGCTACTGTGCAGTGATATAAGTGACAGCTGACACTATACAAGGGCTACTGTGCGGGTGTTAAGATTGACAGCTGACACTATAACAAGGGGCTACTGTGGCAGTGGTTTACAGTGACAGCTGACAACTATACAAGGACACTGTGCAGTGTTATAGTGACAGCTGACACTATACATAGGGCTCCGTGCAGTGTTTACAGTGACAGCTGACACTATACAGGGCTCCTGTGCAGTGGGGGGGGGGGGGTTACAGTGACAGCTGACACTATACAAGGGCACTTTGCAGTGTTAAAGTGCAGCTGACACTATACAAGTGCTACTGTGCAGTGTTACAGGTGACGGGGCTGACACTATACATGCAACTGTGCAGTATATAGTACAGCTGACATATACAAGCTCATGTGCATGTTACAGTGACTTTGACACTATACAAGGGATACTGTGCAGTGTTACAATGACAGCTGACACTAACATGGGCTACTGTGCAGTGTTTATAGTGACAGCTGACCACAATACAAGGGCCTACTGTGCGGTGTTATGTGACAGCTGACACTATACAAAGGGCTACTGTGCGGTGTTAAAGTGACAGCTGACACTAAAACAAGGGCTACTGTGCATGTTATCAGTGCAGTCTGACACATACAAGGGTCCAAACTGTGGCAGTATTACAGTGAACAGCCTGACACTATACAGAGGGCTACTGTGCGGTGTTACAGTGAACACTGACACTATAGCAAGGGCTCCTGTGCAGTGTTACAGTGAGAGCTGACACTATACAAGGGCGTCCTGTGCAGTGTTACAGTTGACAGCTGACACCTATACCAAGGGCTCCTTGCAGTGTTACAGGTGACAGCTTTCACTATACAAGGGCTCCTGTGCAGTGTATACCAGTGACAGCTGACACTGTACATGGGCTTCCTGTGTCATGTTACAGTGACGCTGACAACTATACAAGGGCTCCGTGCAATGTTACAGTGACAGCTGACACTGTACAAGGCTCCTGTGCATGGGCATGTTACAGTGACAGCAGAACTCTAACAAAGGCGCTCCCGTGCCGTGTAACAGTGACAGCTGACACTATACAAGGGCTCCTGTGCAGTGTTACATGACAGCTGACACTATAAAAGGCTTCTGGTGCAGTGTTCAGTGACAGTTGACTCTATACAAGGGCTCCTGTGCATGCGTTAATATGACAGCTGCCCGCCCCTCCACTAACAAGGGCTCCTGTGACAGTGTTACAAGTGACAGTTTGACACTATACAATGGCTCCTGTGCAGTGTTTACAGTGTCCCGTTGACACTATACAAGGGCTACTGTGAAGTGTTACAGAGGACAGCTTGACAACTATACAATGACTACTGTGAAGTTTATTGTGACAGCGGACACTATACAATGGATACAGTGCAGTGTTACAGTGACATCTGAGACTATACAAGGGCTACTGTGCAGTGTTACAGTGACAGCTGACACTATATACAAAACTACTGTGCATTGTTACAGTGACAGCTGACACTATACAAGGGCTACTGTGGCCTGTTACATGTAACAGCTGACACTATGCAATAGGACTCTATGCATTGTATACAGTGAAACAGCTGAACACTATACAATGACTACTTGCATTTTCAAGGTTCAACACACAGACACACACACACAGACACACACACACACACACACACACCACACACACACACGCACACACACACACACATCACACACACACACACACACACACACACACACACACACACACACACACGATTTCAACCACGGAGATATCGACTGGGAAAACCTGAGAGCACATGGGGGTCCCGAAACATGGAGAGCCAAGAATGATGGATTGTACATGAAAACCTCAATCATCAATACATGTAGGGAACACCACAGAGAGAGAGGGGAGGATGAGCAGCAAGACTGGATCTTGTGTTCACCCTGAGCAGTTCAACATTGAGGACATCCACTTACGAGAGGCCCCTTGGGCTAGCGATCCGTGTTCTGAGTTTTGATTATATATAGAGTTACAAGTGGGAGAAGGTAACAGGAACAGAAGGGGATAGGCCAACTATAAAAGGGGGGACTACACATGTATGAGAAACTTCCTCTGCAGAGGTTCAGTGGGGACAGAGAAATGGAAAGGAAAATCATAAAACTAGATTATGGATATTGGCAACAAAGAGCAATGAGGCAGAGGAAAGTTTTGTTCCAAGGGAAACAAGAAGACCAAAACGAGTTCCCATTGGTTTACCCAAGGTGTAGGGAGGCAAAAACTAAGTGGCAACAGAGAATGGAAAAGGTACAGGTGGCATAGGACCACAAAAACAAGGAGATTAGTAGAAGAGCCAGAAACGAGTATGCACAGATAAGGAGGTAGGCCCAGCACAGTATGTAAAACGACATAGCATCGAAAGTCAAATCTGACCCGAACTGCTGTATAGCCACATTAGAGGAAGACACAGTCAAGGACGCAAGTAAAGGCTGAGAAAGAAGGTGGAGAACTCACAGAGAAACGATCAAGAGGTATGTGAGGTGAGTGAGCCTCAACACGAGATTTAAAGGAAGTATTTACGGTAGAGACAGGAGGACTCTGGGGGACAGACCCAGATGGGGACACCAGCAAGGAATACACCACAAGTGTTGGCGACATACAACAGATGAGGAGGAGGTGAAGAAACTGCTAGGGACCATCGATACCTCAAAAGGCAATAGGACCGGACAACATCTCGCGCCTTGGGTCCTTTAGAATAGGGACAGAATATGTTGTGCGTGCCACTTACCACAATTCTTCACAACACGTCCCCTGGAAACTGGGCACCTAACTGAGGTATGGAAGACGCAAATGTAGTTCCCATTTTTTAAAAAGGAGACAGAAAAGAAGGCACTAAACTATAGACCTGTGTCCATTGACGTGTATAGTATGCAAAATTATGGAGAAGATTATCAGGAGGAGAGCGGTGGAGCACCTGAACGAACAAGATATATAATGCCAACAGCACGGATACACGGAAGGCAAATCCTGTCCACAAACCTTCTGGAGTTTTATAATAAAATAACAGAAGTAAGACACGAGAGAGAGGGTGGGTTGATTGCGTCTTCTTGGACTGCAAGAAGACCTTTGACACAAGTTCCTCACAAGAATTAGTGCAGAAGCTAGAGCATCAGGCGCATATAACAGGAAGGGCACTGCAATGGATCAGAGAATACCTGACAGGGAGGCAACAACGAGTCATGGTACGTAATGATGTATCACAGTGGCACCTGTGACGAGCGGGGTCCCACAGGGGTCGGTCCTAGACCAGTGCTATTTTTGGTATATGTGAACGACATGATGGAAGGGTTAGACTCAGAAGTGTCCCTGTTTGCAGATGATGTGAAGTTAATGAGGAGAATTAAATCTGATGAGGACCAGGCAGGACTTCAAAGAGACCTGGACAGACTGGACACCTGTCCAGCAAAT